TGCAATTTTTTTAGGCAATGTGAAGGCGGACAATTATAAAGATGTGAGTGAACTGATTATAAAGAAATGGGATGTAACATGTCTCTAAAAATTCACTTTTTGGATTCTCATTTCGATTTTTTTCAGGAAAATTTAGGTGCGGTATATGATCAACGTGGTGAACGGTTCCACCAAGACATTTCTGCTATGGGAAAACGGTTTCAAGGCAAATGGGGTGTCAATTTGCTTGCTGGTTATTGCTGGACATTGTTAAGAGATACTTCAGGAGCAACATATCGCCTTAAAACATCGACAAAAACATTCTGAGGTTAATGTTTATTCGGGTATTTATTAATACTCTTACACACATATCCTTATATTTTACGAGTATAAGCAGCAAATAAAATGAGTTATCTAAATTCTAAAATCGAATGCTATTTACGGCTTTTTGGATACGTTTTACATAATAATCAGCTTGTTTTGTCCATGTCACAAAAATTACTTTAATTTTGTTCACCAGTGTTATTGTGTCACTATCTAAACGTTGTGTCTATAACATCAAAATATGCACGCTGCGTTCCGTCAAACCATCAGTCAGGTTTTCCAGGTTGCATGATATCTATGAAATGAACACACCAAGCGCCCCTACGGAGGGAAGCCTTCTTATCAGTTAATTCGTTGATGATGTTATTATAAACTACAGAAGCTTTAAATTTTAAGTTATTTCCAAAGAAACAACGTATATTTGATAAACGTGACTATGATGGTTGACAGAGTTCCTCATATCTAATTTCTCCATTTCTCGCATGTTAGGAGCGTGAACACACACAATGAAACGTGACTTCTGCTCACATATTCCGCTATGCCTCGCGGAAATGCTGGTTTGCCTTTTTAGATGTTTTTCACGTAACATCTCTCCCCTAATACTTATGGAACAATAGGATCTTCCAGATGAGATCACGTATCTTCGTATTTTATATTTCTGTAAGTAATGTTCATAGGGGTGATCTCCAGTTTTTATACCTTCCTGCATAATTTGGTACCTAATTTAAATTTAGAAAACAAAATGTTTCAGTAAACGACATTACAAGCCATTCAAGACGATATTAAAGGTTTATTTTCCATTTGGAGACAACAAGTTCTATATTGAAGCCCCAATACCTGTAACGGGTTTAGAGTAAAATGTAGGTAACAATACAATTAAGAATGTCAAAGTGGCAAAGAACTTAGGTTGGGAAATGGATAACGAATCAAGATTATCTGATCATGTAGATGAATCCATCTCAAGGGCATTTGTTCGTTTGACGATTTTGTTTCCTCAACACCATATTCTGCCCATCAGAAAGATTATCCCCAACGACCTGGTTTGTCCCTAGTCAATTACTGCGACGTCGTGGATTGTAGACGAATTCAGAAAATCCAAAGGTCGTGTCCCAGATTCATCCGCAAGTTTGACAGGGTATCACCCAAGCTAGAGGAAGTCAGTTGGCAGTCGGCAACGTTATTCCATGAAATTATCTCTGTCAAAGGGCCTCGATATTTATAGAATAGGATGATATTTAGACATGATGTCCATAATGTAAATATTCGTGTCTCTCACCCTCTACATCGAATGAGAGATGAGAGATTATTTACATTTAATAGTTATAGAATATACGATGCCAACAAGCTTAAAAAAGGGATTAAATCAATATGTTTGTTTGCAAAACATGACCAACGACTTCAATTAGTAATGAAGCACCAAAAAAGTTTGTAAGTGACTATTGTTTTAGTGATCAAAAGGAAAATTGTGATGTATTCCACTATTCGAGTGATACAATCTCATGTAAACGACCAAGAAAGCCAATTGAAAAAAAATGACCTGCTGCAGCAGTGAAATACATCGCGAAGGGATCAAACGTGAGTTGGAAACGATCAAACATCTAGTATGGCATCTTGAAAAAATTTGTGTCCAAGAATTAACAATAAAATCGTTAAATAAATCACAAAGGTGGAGAGCATATGCCATCTAGTAAAACTCTCCACCAATAACCAGGATCCACCACGGTGAAAATGCTTACGACCTGTCAATCGTCACGCCTATCCAAAGAGAGAGACAAACTCCAAAACAGCAGGAGCAACGCATCGTATGCTTAAAGTAAATCAGACAAAAACTCACAAGGGAATTCCCACACACACAAAAACCGTCCGGCATGGGTATCATGTAAAAGAAAACCTATAAAACGTCAAAAAAAACCTATAAGATGTCATCTTGCAATCTAGGTAGTTTTTAAGGCGCAAACAGTCATTCCACGTTTGCTCACTAGGATCGTTGTGAACGTCCATCTAAGGAGGAATCACTCAACTAAACTACACGCATTATTGGTTGCATATGTGTTGTGAGGCCAAATGGTACTTGTCTGTAATGTTTATCTCTGAGATCATCTGGATGATTGTGTGTATTGGTCTGCATGTATATAAAATCAGTGATATTTGCTGTGTGGGAAAATCATTACTGAATATGCTGCCAATGCCCCACGTTGGGCGCCAATTTATGTAACTCTTCCTTTCCGCAAAAAGTCCAGAAAAGATGGAATGCAATGAAGATTCCAACCTTTCTGCACAATCACAGAAAGGGGGTTGCCATTAGCTTCCGGTAGCTCAGTCGGTGGCATGAAGACATCTACAGGCGTGTAGCTGTGTGTCGACCATGGCAAGGCTAGAGGATAGAAGAACAAACAGAACACCAAAATTTAACAGATTTTATTTAACAAAAAAAAACATTTCCATTACATTACAATTTTACAGTTTTAAAGAACAAAATAAGTTTTACATCTTTGGCGCTGCTACAAAAATATCAACTTATCTTTCTCTGGTCCATTTTGACTCGACTAAAGCGAGGATGGCAAAGTAGGCAAAGTTGATCTTGAAGGCGATGCCGCTGCCAAGGCACATGCATGGGTGAAGTGATAGGCCAAGCAACGCAAAGTCAAAGACTAAGGCAAAGGGAAAGGGAAAGAGAAAGGGGGTGGCCCCAATCTGAAAAAGAACCGTGTGCATTAGCAACGTGCCCTAATGGCCAAGGCATTTCCAATCTCAGTCTGTCTCAAAAGAGAACCAACGGTTTTCTAGGTTAGAATTACATTACATAGTTTGATAAAACCAAACCGAAAATTGGAAATGCCTTTCATAAAATAAAATCATGAAATAGCAAAAAAAAAACGTAAAACAAGATGGTGGTCATCAAAAATTTCTCTACATGCTTCTGATATAAAAACACAAATATCGAATATTCATAATCAACGTACTCATAATTTCACTGAACTATGAATATACGTATATACGCACACAGAGGTAAAATCGATGTGGATCGATTTCTACCTCTATTTGATTAAAGTTATGGCGAATGATCGAAGTAGTCGAAAATGGCGTTCGATGGCTATTTTAAAATCGTACAAGAAATAAATCACTTACATATCGATTATCTATAAACTACAGGCAGATCCAGCAATAAAACTGTATAGTATTATAAAACTCACCATTTTGTCCTATACGGACACCCATTCTACAAAATTCTAGCACATGGTGCTATATGACCTTGTGCTACAGAGAAGAAAATTCTTAGCTCTTGTTCGATCGGCGGTTCAAGTGAAAAGGAAGCGCGAGGAAGATCGCAGATCAGGAACTCCGCATCAAGCGCTCCAAGCGGAAAATTTTCCAAGTAAAAAAGCTAGGGATGGGATTAATGATTTGCGATTCTGAAATGATAATCGAGAAGTGATTTAATAAATACAATCGGACGATGAAGTATATCTATTGGCTGTGCCTGACGGGTTATTTTTATGTTGTGCTTTGTGAGGAGAGGTTATGTTCAAAGTTATAAATTACGAAAAACTGAGGAGAATTACGGAAAATCATCACCGCGCCCGCGTTGTGTGTAATTACTGTTAGCATATATATGACTTGTAGTTCGACAGTATACAGTGAATATTATTATTTTTTATCTCTCTCATTTTTGAAATTCAGCAAATTTGTATATGTAATTTCCGGAATGGCTAAGAAAAAGTGGATGCGCAATTAATTTCTAGCTTTTAATCTTAATTAAGTATATTTGCGACAAGAACCCAATGCAATGATCATCAACACATACAACTTACAGCTTAGACCTCCAGAAATGCCATCTCAGAAGCAGAATTTACATCACATCAGAGCCAAAGATTGATAATAAGCCTCATGACGCTTAGGTAACACGTATAGTTAAGTGCTAAGTTCATATCTTGTAGAGAAACCTAAATAATGTCAAAAAAACTAACATAATGTCAAAAAAAATCAGCATAATGTCACTTTTCAAGATACGTTATACCCGTGCCGAATGCCATTAAAGTGGAAAAACGTCTGCTAGACCATTCACCCGTAGGCGAACAAAATAAGTAGTCACTGGCAAAAATAAAAACAGTGGTATCAAAAGTGTACTTGAGCTGGGATACCTGCACGTCTATCGTTTAGAAAAGGAAGAAACCGGAGCTACCCTGAAGAAGGCTGCATCTAAAATTGTGCGAAAAGCTCGTCAAAAAAGGTACATTTCCAAGCTGTTTTAAAGCCCCATTTCCTGTAGTTTATGTTGATAATGTTTATAATCCCTACATATCTTCTTCATTACTTTAGTTTCCTCATCTACGTTGTCGTCAACAAGAGATAAGGCAGATACCTCATCTGTCAAATACCACAAATTTTGGCAGAACTTTTGTAAAACTGCTTTTGAAATGGTTTTGTCAACTCTTTGGTAAGCCTTCATTGCCTTTAAAAAGCATACATCCTGGTTAGGTGCTTTTACCGCTAAAGTACATTGCAACTACGATTCCACGTATGTTGTCACGATGAACAGGCAGATATACAACAGAGCAAGGAAACCTGCCACATGAAACTTGTTAAAGTTAATGCTCTGGAATTTGATTTTGAATATGCGCTAGCTCAAGTCATCTATAGTGAAGAAAAATTGTTACTTGTTGCTTTTATCGTTCACCATCAAGTGACGCATATACTTTTTTAGAACAGCTAGACGGATTGCTTGAGTCCTTGGGCAAAATGACACCCGCACCTTTCATGTGGTGACCTCAAAATGAAGACAAGTTGGTCAACAAGTATGATATGCTGTCCAGCTAATAATATGGTTTTCGTGGAAAACGTTCCACTCAGGATGCTGTACAATTTAATACCAAAAGCTCTAGATCAAAAAAGTGTTTAACTTTATTTTTTGATCTGAGACGAGCGTTTGATACTATTGACCATTCGACATTAGTTAATAAACTTTCCAAATATGGTATCCAAGGTTTATCTCTAGATTGGTGAAACCATACTTATGTAATCGTAGTCAAGCAGTGAAAGTCAAAATCGAGCGCCTTAGAGTCATCTGATTTGGTGGTGGACAACGGGGTTTCTCAGGACAGTACATTAGGTCCGTTGCTATTAATTTATACTTACTATCAACGATATAATGACAACGGACAGATGTTTTGTGCTTTCTGGCAACTCGACAGGATTGTCTAGGCTTAGATTCAGGTCAGGACAACAAACGAAAGCGTAGCAACTAACCTCTATCTGATGTATAAGATCTATCGAAACAAGACAGTTGATGTTGGCTTATTTTAACAGTATATTATATCGAAGCAGTAAAGGAAGACAAAGGAAAATAGGTATATTCGTCAGATTTACCATAAAGTGGTCCAGAAAGTTCTTCTTTATTACTTTAGTTTCCTCATCTACGTTGTCGTCAAAAAGAGATAAGGCAGATACCTCATCTGTCAAATACCATAAATTTTGGCAGAACTTTTGTAAAACTGCTTTTGAAATGGTTTTGTCAACTCTTTGTTAAGCCTCCATTGCCGTTAAAAAGCATACATCCTGGTTAGGTGCTTTTACCGCTAAAGTGCATTGCAAACTACGATTCCACGTATGAACAGGCAGATATACAACAGAGCAAGGAAAGTTACTGAACATTCTATTAATTCTCGATAGTCGACTCTAGCAACTTCTTTGGTCAATTCATGCCGATAAAATTCTAGCAGCTTGCCAGTCTTTGAAATATTCAAGTATGACAGCTTTCCAGTATAAATCATTTAAAGTCATATGGAAAAAACTTAGAGGATATTCGTTTGAAAAAGGAACTTCTATTTTTGTGGGATACCCTAACCTTTTGACGTTACGTTAAGATGCGAACACATGATATATTCCACAAGGTTGACCTTGTGATAGATCCGTGTGGAACGGCGCTGCTGATTTACATATTCTTTGACCGGCTTTATATCTATCTGTCCGCAACCTCTGCACTTCTGGAAATTGGCCACCCAAGCGTGAAAGTATCTCCAAAGAAGTCAAAGTGCTGCTCAATTTATAATAATTTATTTTATGTGTATCGTAGGCATATCTGATCAAGAACGAAACTTGATTTGCCTTCACTTATCAGAGGTCAAAACTAGGAACTTGAGACTCTAGTTATGATATAAATAGCAGCAAATATGCACCTTGTGTGAAGACCCTCAAGATAAATCGATGTGCTGTTTACATCTAAACTGTCACCTACTCCGAGACACATAAATCACCTGTATAAATGAAGACAATCGTAAACCCGCAATGGCGTATTAATCTTCTCTTTGAACGCATTAACAGTAATTACTTCTTTGTGACTTCCCCCATAGTCATTACCCAACCAGTCTACCGATCTAATATATTGACTTATCAGATTTCCCACACATATTTCGCTAAAACTGTTACCGTTTTATTAATGATCCTTTCGGAGTCTGTTTACGATAGAGCCGTATTAAGATTAATGAACTATTTATTTTACCCTGCGCTCCGGGGTTGGTTCCTAAATCGCAACGGCAATTAAGTTGAGAGAGAGAGAGAGGTAAATCGCGAACATTTTTGCGGGGTTACTTTCACGGATGATATAGAGAGATAATTTGTCAGGTGTGCGTGGAAGTCAATAGATTGAGATGGATCGTCTGAGCGCGTACAGGTGATAGATAGGACAAGTATCCTTATGTCAATAATTCCTTCAATTGTTAGAAAATATTAGATCAGACGAATAAAAGAAGCCTGCTGTGACATCGGAAACTTATCTAGTGGTTCTCCTGCTAACCAGTCCCCACGTTATATAGTCTGCCAAATGAAACCATATACAAGACTGAGAAGAAGAGGAATAAATCGAGCAGGGAACGATGTATAGAGAAGAGTCGGGCTTTGCCGGCAATAGTTTGTACATTTGCTATGATTTATCTCTGAATATTTAAGATTATTATTGTTATTACCATCAATAAAATTTTTATTCTGTGTTCAGGTTTCATCGAACAAAAAATATATGGCCAACTAAGGAAACATATCACTGAATTTAGGACTGAAAGGTCCATTCAAATGACCAAATTCCAATATAGCGTACATATGGAAAAACAAAGTTGGTGATGAAAGTCGAAAAAAGAAATGTCGAATTGATAAGTTCACTACACCATCTTGTGAATCTTGACAAAGACAACATTCAACTTATTTTGAAATTTCATCTCAGATAAAGTTAGGAAAAGTGATTTTGGGATAAATCTGTTATGCTAAACAAATGACTATCTGATAATTTCAAGGCCTGCCATGAAAATTCTGCGTTTTTTTAATTAAAGGTTCGCAATGTCAACCTATTTTATAGATATGCAATCTATACAGATATGTAATTATTATTACTGTATGCAGATTTGGCTTCCTAGTCCATTGATACACAAGTTTGCATATGCCTTTTGAGTTCGTGTTTCTGAATATTTCAACCTGAGACAAGTCAGTAGGTTACACTAATAAAGAGTTAAAGCTGCAACCAATCTCAGCGAGGTTAAAAAGTCGAATTAAGCCTATTAGAAGATATATATGATTTGGGACTAACACCTCCTACACCATAAAATTAGCAGGTTTAATTTAAAATGGAATTTAGTAGTATCTGCAAAAGGTTTTATAAGAACTGAGAGACCGATTTTTTTGCTGATAGCTGTTGTTAATTGAGCAGACTATCCAATAAATATGTCAACAAAATGTTCGAAAAAGACCACTATTATTTCCAGAAAAAAAGTGATAGCTATGCTTCACTGCCAAAATGTTTTCTGAAGTTTCTCCAACGTGGAAATATCTTCCGAGCTGCTGAACTGCCGTTAGCACATATATACATAACTATTATTACATCACAACCCAAACTTGCTTCCTGTTTTCAAAACTTTTAATTTCGTGTTTTTCTGCGCGCTTGGTTTATTTCTTAGAGCAAGTTATATTGAACCTACTATATTATTTTCCCATGGAATATATTATACACTGTAAACATACTTACGTTTAACAGAGCGTATTTGCTCACAACATTATAAGTTTTTGAGAGCACGAGAAAGTTTGCTAGGTAGAAAGTTTGTTTTAACTTGCTTGCGTCAGGTGGAGTTCATAGTTGCAGCAAGAGCGATGCTGTTCTGATATTCACACAACCGCAAACTTCGAACTTTACGAATACTTCGAATAATGATATGCCTGTTATGAATTAGCTACGCGGAAACGATAATTGTTATGGAAGCGATACATCTTGCAGCTGAACTTATCCAAACTATCGGTATCTAGGTACTCTACTAGATTGATCACGTTATGACTTTTTACCAAGCCATATTTAATTCGTAAGATGAATAGGAAAGTTACAATACTGTTGATGGAAAACGGATAACTAAAATGTTGGAAAATCATGAAAGGAGGTGTCGTTGTAGTAATTTGATTTTATCTCAAACAGTCTACTAGATTGATCACGGTATTGCTTTTTACCAATCAATATTTAACTCCCAAGATATATAGAAAAGATACAAGACTACTATTGATGAAAAACGGATGAGACTTACGAGCATATCGTCAGTTGTTCCTACAACTCTGTATCTCAGAGCCATACTAGGTTAAGTCCAAATAAGTACTTTTGAGATCATTGTATTTGAAATACTAATTTTTCTTGCATTATATTGTATGCGACTTGACATGAGTTAAAAAGTCGTAACTTTCTTATTATTACAGATACATGGATGCTGCATGTAGCAAATGGACATTAAGAATATTATCATACGTTTAACATATTAAACTCATTTTCAACAAAAATGGACCTAGCCTGGCTCAGAATTGTCGGACGCCTTTATGGCCTCCTTGATTTTCATAGTTTTGTCAGAGCTCTATTTTGAGGTTATGTTACAAATACCTATTTGCATCAAATTGTCGATACTTTTGATTTATATTATCTATTATATAGCCTGAAATTTCTTACAATTCCAGAAGAAACAATAGGAATATGTTTGGCCAAAAATAAGCGACGAAGTATTGACGACTATTTATTTATGAAAAGATTTTAACCTGATACTCCTGAATCTTCAGCTAGGATGCTCCTATAGGGACGGCAAGATTTTCATATGTAAGCGGTAATTCTGAAATTTTAAATACCTTATAAAAACTGTGGGCGACTATACGCTCCTTACTTGGAAAATATCTCGCTCTCCAAAGGGCAATTCATAATTGCATCACAACGCATACATTTTCTTAATAAATTTCTTTAGAATGAGCGAATAATAAAAAAGTATTCATGCAAATTTATTTAGTTTTATGTTTCTCAAATCTGTCATTTAAATGTTCATGTGCCTTCGTTTTTTCCGCGGCAGAGACACCGAAATTCTTGTGACTGAGTGAACGTTGTATTTTCTGGTGTTTTAGTACTGCTTTCATTGAAAATGCAATGTATTGATTATATCGCAGCAGCGTATACATAGTACAAGTAAATACATATATTTTCGTTTATTGTAATTACTTCCACCATAGCAAATTTATTTTGAAGCTTTTTCATAAATTACCATCCGTCGCTTTCTTTTCTTTTTATTATTGGTTCTCACAAACTATACTACATCATATCAAAATGTAATAATTTTACGATTCCAAAGATCATGATACTTGGCAAAACCGGCTGCGACTGAACCCTAAAACCTCTTTCATTGTTGTACCAGGGGAATTCACATGCGATTTTTTCCACCGGTTTTGACACTAGCGGGAGAGTTTCATAGCTGATTGTTACCTA